TCCATAGCCTCTGAGTATAGATGTATGGTATGGAGTCTTGTTGTACAAAGGTCTGGCAAATTTCATCAGAAAGGAATGGTAGACAAGTCCTGCTTCACCAGCAGCAAGAACCAAGGAGAGAAAGTTCATGTCTTTGGCCTTGGCTTCGGCAGCCTCCCTTCTCACCTCAGAATTGGGCGTAGATGGGGTGAGAGGTGTGGGTGGCGTGGGAGGCATTCCGGGGGTGGCATGGGATCTGGGGCCAGATGAGATGTCCTCATACATGCAGACATCGACATTGTTCAGTATGGACTCAGAGACTCTTACATGACCGGCCTTTGGAACTAACAAATTTTTGGGGTACTCAAGGCTCAATTCTGTATTCTCATCCACCCACCTCAGTACAACATGGAGTGGCAAGCAAGGATCCTGCCTGCTATGGCCGCCCTCCATAAATTCATTTGGGAATATGACTCTGATGAAATTACAGACTACCAGGAGGAGCAAGATATTTCTCCAGGCAAGAGTGTTGGGGAACTGGCCATGGGAGTGCCCTGCCTGATTGAAAGGCAGTGAGAGAATTGCCATTGTGATGATGATATCCCACAGGCAATGTGGGGGCAATACAATGGATTTTTGTGTGCATAGGGTATATTATAAGAACAAGCTGTCATTTGGTATAGTTTTACAATACAATACATGTGTTCACTCCCATTCCGGTCCCCCACCCTCACCTCATGCTTTCACCAATGTCCACCTCACTAATTCGTTTGAGGACCCAAGCCTTCCTAAGTTCAGGTGACAAAATGGATAGGTACATTCTGACCGCAGTGTCACTTGAAAAAAGGTCAATGGGTGTCATTTGTTGGTCCACATTGAGGTACGTTTCATTTAACTGCATTAACTCCAAGGCACTCACTGCACATTCAGCCTGAGACTTTCCCAAGGCAGCCTTTTTCTGTGGGGTCATGGGAGGTGCGGCTCTCGGGGGGGAGCCTATGCCTGCCTGAGCCATTGAACAAGGTGCTGGAGACCTCTCGTCACCCACATCGGATGGGGAGGCCATGGACGCCTGCAACCCTGACACCTCACGCATAGTATTGCATAGAGTCATGAGGTTGACATGTGCCTTATCCATGAAAGCCGTGCTGTTGTTCCCTCACCACTTCTTGCTAGAGGCTCTCGAACCTGTTGTCCCTGACATGCTTGGGAACCCCTCCAGTGTCGAGCTCTTGCATCTAGACGTTGGTCCCAGGGGCACCTCTGGAACAAAAGATGTGGTGGGTATTGTCAGGTCAGAAGACTCACCTTGGGAGATATTTGTGCTGTCAGAGGGGCACATCAACCCAAGATCGCCCAGCCATCCAGGGTTGCCACCTGATTCATTACCAAAGGAGAGCCCCAGGTAGTGTTGCCACGGTTTGGTTGGTCGCATACACCCATGTAAAAAGATTGCCATGGATCTCAGCTTCCACGGAAATCTTTTTACATGGGTGTATGCAACCAACCGAACCGCAGCAACACTAGCCCCAGGGGTGCTGGCGTGGACCATATCCCAAATGATGATGGTCCTGCCTGAGGGGGATCATCCATGTAAATGTCCATGTCAAACACACTGGCAGCTTCCCCCTGTGCCCCTGTCATTGACCGAAAGGTGCTCGCTGCATCCCCCAAAAGTGTAAAGTTGATGAGCCTGAAGGTCTGATTGCTTGCCTGGTATGCATTATTTTCCCTTTGCCTTGTTCTGCACCAGGAGGCTCATCTCCTTGTACAACAGGAACCCTTTGTTGGAGTATGCTCTGGCCTTGGGATGATGCTGTACTGGCTCAGGATCAGTTGGCAGTCTGGGGTCCACATGAGTGACCCACTGCTACAAACTCCTCCCAGATGCTGTTGGTGAGTGGGAGGTTCACACTGGAATCCTCATTCCATGAGAGGCCTGAGGTGTTCTTGATCATTGAAACCACTGTGTACTGTTCCTTGAGCTGTCCAGCTAACAATCAGCATGTGGAAGCCAATATGCACAGACACTCACCCGAATCCACTTCTGCCTACACGCTCTAGGAATTTTCACAGCTCCCCTAACATAATACAGCACCAACATGGCTGCCACCTTTGTCCAAGTCAATTCCGTGAAGTTACCACCATCGCCGGCTTCTGCCTTGTGCTCTACCAGGAAATGCACCAAGGCCTCCAGAGATCCAGTGCCCCAATCCCATCTGCCAGGTTCTTGAAATCGATGATTACCTACACAGATGAATTGCATGTATTTGCACAGAGTTGAATGAAATCTTACATGCATTTTAGATGAAATTCATATTGTGATTGTGTTTATATTTGGAACACACAATATCTAGGTAAATGGAGCTTCGATTATGGGTGTATTTGCACTTGCTCTAAGTTACATATCCCGTGTGAGGTCAATCATCCAAATCATCCATCCTTTAGGATGTGTTCATAGCTAACCAAACTTCCGAATAATAGATGATTTGATATTCAAACACCTAGCTCAGCTCATGCTAATTGTTATCTGGCCACGAAGTGCTAAAACACTGTGACTCCTTGCAAATGCAATGACTTGGTCCCCCTGGGTCCAAGGCTAACTTACTAACTAACTTATTCCCTCTCCCACTAGGTACCTAGCTGCTAAAGCAACCTTTTAAAATACATCTATAAATAGTCGCCTACCCTGGCTACCCACCAACTATGTAATTCTCCCACGCGAGGCAAGGTGACGACATACGTGTCCAAGTCGCGTCGAGCGCTTTGGAAGGCTATTTGATACATAAGTTGTTACTCGTCACGCCTGAACCTGAGTCTGTGCCGGCGTTCTGAAGTTAGGGTCTAAGGCTCTTGACCTCCCTGAAAGTTGTCAGTAGCACAGGTCATCCTCTCGGCGGCCGCAATGATGCACTCGCTAGCACGCTTCGTTCTCACACTGGTCGTTGGAGCCTCTGTTGCGTGCGCTGGTGAGGTTGTTGAGCTTGAGGAGATAAACTTTGATCGTTGGGTTGGGGCTGGCAAGCCTGCCTTGGTTGAGTTGTAGGTCACTGGCGCTGACTTACAGCGTACCCGTTCTCAGCTAACTTGTTGGGTGTAGTTGGGCTCCGTGGTGGTGAGTACTAGTGGCCTTTGTCGTGAGTTATCAGTAATAGTGGTATAAACTGGAATCTCGAAGCGACCATTGTCAGGTGAGCGACACAGACACCATGGCACAAAACTTATTCATTTACTTCCCTTTTACATGAGACATTGGAACCAGTCTACAAAGAACTAGCGGATGTATTCGATCACGTTAGCAATAAACTGGTGTTTGGGAAGGTCAATCACGATGCCATGGGCAGTAAATCTTTAATGTGAGGCACCACAACACAATCACAGAATCTTCATACAACTGGTTTTCATCAGTGATAAATATGGCGTTACTGGTCTTCCCAGTAAGAACACACTCTATTGCATTCTCTGTTCTTGACGTGAATAACCAGCCATTAAATATTTCGACGCGGACGGTAAGTCAGAAGATTACGACCCAGAGGCGGGACGAACTTTGGACGAACTGGTGGCTTTGTAAGTAAATGATGATCGTGGTGCCCTTGTACCCGAGACTCTAACGAAGATTAAATTTTACGTACCTTCCACGGATAGCGTCACCAAAAGGTCTGGACTGAAATCTAGGCTCGCCACACCGGCGTCACCGCCACCTGAGGTGACGATACAACTGACCTCCGCCAACTTTGATAAGATTGTAAATGTATGTTGCCCATGATCTTTTCAATGATTTTTTTCTGACTCGTCACACCCCAGGATCCAGAGAAGGATGTGTTGGTCTCGTTCACTGCGACTTGGTGGTGCGTCCTGGAACTCTAGCCTCTTTTCGTTTCTGACAACTATCCTGATGATTGTGTAGTGGGCACTGCAAAGCTTTGAAACCCATATACAATTTCGGTATGACCAGTTGCTTCATTTAAAGCGCGTCGTCCTGAATAGACACAGTGGCATGGAACTTTAGGTCGGAAGAACACGTTTGTCTTATTCCGTACCCACAAATACGTTGCACAACTAATGAAGGCATTACTAGATCGTCATCGCCAATCTAGATGGCGACGCAGACCCCGACCGCAGCCTCGCGACGAAGTACAATGTCACAGGTTACCCCATTCTGAAGCTGTTCCCCAAAGGCTCTAAGGAGCAGCCGATTGTACGTGCATCCAAGTTGTCTTTAGAATGTGAACGCATATCTTGATTAGGATTATAAACTCCCGAGAGATGAGCGGAACTTGGTAAGATTCTTGAACGAACACACGGGCACGCAGAGAGCGGTCGGAGGGGGACTCACTGACCAGGTTAATATTACCCCACTACATTTCATTGAAGAGGTTTGTCTGATGACCATATCACCTACCTTTGCATAGGCTGGTCGATCTGCCCACCTAGACGAACTCGCTGCTCAATTTGTGTCTGCGGTCCCAGCGGAGAGGCCCACGATATACAAGAAGGCCAAGACCGCATCGATATCTGCTGGAAAGCCAGGGAAGCAATATCTTCGGATTATGGAGAAGCTCACGGATGGCAAGGACGATTATCTGACGCAGGAACGGACTCGGTGAAGCACAGCCTGTATCATACTGCAGAGGATATCACAACTGACTCAGTTGCATTGGTGAAAATAGGCTTTCGGGCATCCTATCCAAACGTGCGCTTTCAGACGAGAAACTGGACGAAATTAAGATCAAGTCCAATATTCTTTCTACCTTTGTCTCGGTGGCTGATAAGAAGATGGCGGAGGGTGTTAGAATCGAGACTGCGTCAAAGTCTTCGGATGAACCTGTTGAGACCGAGGGTAAGAGGGTGAAGGAGGAGCTGTGAGCATAAAGAGGCACAGAATGTTAATATTTATTGATGCTAACGGGGGCTGTGAACTCACGAGACTGACTGCACTCTTTTGGGGTGAGGTTCTCGATCCAACCGAAATATGGCATAAATCACTAGTCAAGAAAATAGTTTTCACAGACAAAACAGCATGGCAACGGTGAGATTCGAACTCACGCCCCCGAAGAGACTAGTAAAGAACTACCTGAAACTAGCGCCTTAGACCAACTCGGCCACGTTACCCTAAAGGAAAGTGATGCACTAGTATATATATAATATTTTGTGAAAATGTGTCCACAGCCGGAATTCCGCTCCGCTGTCGAAAGTTCCCTCGTCCGTGTCGGCAACCCTCTCAAAAGTTCACATACCCGTCTTTCTGTCTACTATCTCCATCTTCACCATGCTCGCCCGTGCAGCCCTCCACTCAGCTCGTGCTTCAGCGCGTGCCTTCTCCACTACCCCCTCCCGCCTGACCAAGGTCGCTGTCCTCGGCGCTGGCGGAGGAATTGGCCAACCGCTCTCTCTCCTCCTCAAGTCGGATCCTCTCGTATCGAGCTTGAGCTTGTATGATATCCGGGGCGCACCAGGCGTTGCTGCCGATGTGGGCCATGTCGACACTGGCAGCGAGGTGTGTTGAGTTTTGCGTGTCGCGGTGACGCGTATGGTTGGAGCTGACTGGTGGTTGTGTAGGTGAAAGGATACACTTCGGACCAGTTGGATGATGCGTTGACGGGTGTGGAGGTAGTTGTCATTCCTGCTGGTGTCCCGAGAAAGGTAAGCATAACATTATGAATGATGCGCCCTGCATTGCTAAATGACCCACAGCCTGGTGTAAGTCATTTTACTTCTTAAGTTGACCACGTTTGACCCCTCCCAGATGACCCGTGACGACCTTTTCAACGTAAGCACCTTACCATCACCACTCCAAACGCACTACCTCACTAGTCCAACACACCCCAGACCAACGCAAGCATCGTCCGCGACCTTGCCGCTTCTATCTCCCGTGTCTCTCCCACAGCCCACATCCTCATCATCTCCAACCCCGTCAACTCCACCGTCCCTATCGTCGCTTCCGTCCTCGAGAAAGCCGGTACCTTCAACGCGCGCCGTCTCTACGGCATCACCACCCTTGACGTCGTCCGTGCCTCACGCTTCCTCGCAGGCATTGCAGGCACCGACCCGCTCGCGACGCCCGTCACCGTCGTGGGCGGCCACTCGGGTGTCACGATCGTGCCTCTCATTTCGCAGACTAATGTTGCGAGTGCTGTCGCGCAGGGGAGCGAGGAATGGAAGGCGCTTGTGCACAGGATTCAGTATGGAGGTGATGAGGTCGTTAAGGCTAAGGATGGCGCGGGGAGCGCGACACTTTCCATGGCCTATGCCGCGGCTAAATTCACCAACCTTCTCTTGAGGGCGCTTAAGGGCGAGAAGGGCATCGTCACACCAACGTTCGTCCGTAGCCCCATCTACGAGAAGGAGGGTGTCGAGTTTTTCTCGACTAATGTGGAGCTTGGCGTGCGTGGCATGTATTATCTGAGTGTCACTGACGACTGATTTCTGTGTGTGCTGTAGCCGGACGGTGTTGAGAAGATCCACGAACTCGGCAAGCTTACGGCTCAGGAGGAGGAGCTTGTCAAGGCCGCGCTGCCTGAGCTGAAGAAGAACATCGAGAAGGGCAGGCAGTTTGTCACTGGTGCTTGATGTAAAAATTGGGCTTGTGCTCTTGGGTCAAAGTAGACGATACATGTTTATGTAGATGTCTTTCTTTCGGTATTCTTTCTCTGGATTAAAAACAGACGGCCAGCAACTTCAAAGTTAGAGCATAAGGTATGTGTTGATATAATATGTCACGTGATGACACGTAACTTGATTGTGACATGCGTGTTTGAGTCTAAACCTTATTGTCTCGACTATATGTCGGTATCCCACGTAAACATCCTTATTTATGGCCCTTGGGACTTCTTAACGAATAATCTCAGCTTAGATATTACTGGATTGCATAGATTGTGATAAAATATTGGGATTTATTCTACGAGCTGAGAGGGTCCATTTCGCTATACCGTTCGTTGCGTTACATATTTGCGCGAGAGGGAATATGCGGCGTATCGTATCTTGCACATAGCACAAGATCAGACTGGGAGCTCCGGACTGGATTGTCGAAGCCTGACGCATGGGAGACACAGGATGTTGGTAGGACATTAAAGGGGTGTCCTACGTGCTGAAATGACATACATGGGCTAATACAGTCACGGTCTAGATACAGCTCAACACAACTCACTGTTTAAATCTTCGTCATACGCCTCATTTCTCATTGCCCAGGAGGGTGACCCTTGTGGCCAACCGATCGCATTAGAGACTAAGAACCCCATTCCTGCGACGCTAAAGAGTGTTTAGGCTTTGGCCTAACTCAATTCGAGGAGCCTAAAACTACCTCCATCTCGTTGATTCGACTCCCTCCAGGCTGCGACGTGGACGAAAACACCTCAGACCCAGACGCCAAAGAGTCGATCAGCAACGAAAGGCGAGAGGTTGAAAGATTGGGCTCCTTATCACGTCATTAGATAGAGCGTCGATAAGCGAGGGCACGACCCACCTTCCGAATCTCCTCCAAGTCATCTTTGAAGGCATCCGCGACAGATGCCATCCAGAATTTCCTAAACTTCTCCTTGAGAGCTTTTTCTTTCTCTTTCTCGGCGTCGGACGTGGGGTTTGGGGGGATTAGTGGGGGGATGGTTACGTTGGGAGGCGAAGGAGATCGAGATGGAGGCTGGGGATGTGCTGCAGGTGTAGTTTTGGACGATTCTTTTGCTTTCAGTTTTATGGAATGCACTGATGAGCCAGACGAGGATGAGGAAGAAGATGAAGATGAATCGGAATCAGAGTCTAAATTTTCTTCAGCTTCAGGTTTTGTTGCAGGAGTTGGCGGTGGCTTCGGCGCCGTTTGGACAGCTTTCGGCTGCTCATCTTCCGAGGAAGACGACGACGACGACGAAGAAGAAGAGGATACGTTTCTCCGTTTGCGTTTCCTGTTGCGTTTCCGGACTCGTGTGGGTTTTTCTGCAGGAGCCATTGCGTGTGACTTGCGCGTGACACTAAGTTTACTCAATCACGCTTGAGCTCACTGCGTTCCACGACGAGCTCGCCTCCGTCCTCAAAGCCCTGGTCAATATAGCTTGTCTAATCGAATGAACTCCAAAAAAGTGGGAGTATTAGGTACCTACACCATATTTTCTTTGTCTCATTCATCTAACCCCAAACTTGAGCCCAGGCGGTGGCCAGCTCGGCCGCATGCTCGCCGCATCAGCCTCGCTGCTCAACATACCCCTTAGTATCCTCGATGTCGGTGCCAATGCTCCCGCAAAACAGGTGACAGTGCCCCAACCCCCCCTCACGCATGTCGACGGCTCCTTCACGTCTCCTTCAGCCATCCGCGAGCTCGCCGCAAAAGTCGACATCTTAACTGTGGAAATCGAGCACGTCAATGTAGACGTGTTGGAGGAGGTGCAGAAAGAGACCGGTATTGAGGTGCATCCCAGTCCGGAGACTCTGCGTATCGTGCAGGATAAGTTTCGGCAGAAGGAACATCTGGCGCGCCATGGGATCCCTGTTGTGGAGTACGTCGCCGTCAAGAGAAGTGTGGAGGGAGTCAAAGCTGCGGTGGAGCAGCTCGGGCTGCCGCTCATGCTGAAGAGTCGAACGCTCGCATACGATGGCCGTGGAAACTACGTGCTTGACTACGCACACGTGTCTTTGATGGCACAGGCCCTCGAAATGCTGGGCGACCGCCCGCTGTACGCGGAGAAGTGGGTACTGTTTCATAAGGAGGTTGCTGTTATCGTCGTGCGCACGAAAGACTCCAAGGTCCGCTCGTACCCCGCCGTGGAGACCGTGCAAAAGGACAACATCTGCCATCTTGTGTTCGCGCCGTTGCGAGCTCCAGGTGATCAAGCACAGAGGGCACAAAAGCTCGCTGAGGACGCTGTGCGTACCTTCAGCGGCGCAGGCGTGTTTGGCGTTGAGATGTTCCTCCTCGAGAACGGTGTGTATGACACTGCATTGAACTACATCGTGTTCTGTTCCATCCTGAATTTTCTTAGGAGATATCATTATCAATGAAATCGCACCACGGCCTCACAATAGCGGACATTACACCATCGAGGCATGCCACACCTCCCAATATGAAAATCACCTCCGCGCGGTCCTCTCCCTCCCCCTCGGATCCACATCGCTCATCGCACCCTCTGCAGCAATGCTTAACCTCATCGGCTTCTCATCTTCTATCTCAGAGGTCCTCGCCGTTACGCAAAAGGCGCTTGACATCCCCGGGGCGCATGTGCACCTATATGGCAAGAGCGAGTGTCGAAAGGGCAGGAAGATGGGACATGTTACCCTTGTGGCAGATAGTGACGCGCAGTGTCGCGACCGACTCAGACTGTTACTGGAAGCCCTACCCGCATCGTCGTCGTCGTCCTCACGTGCCCACCCCTCAGACATCGAACTTTACACCCCGATTCCTGTGTCACCGTCGCACTCGCATGAATCCCCCCTTGTGTCTGTTATCATGGGCTCGGACTCAGATTTGCCAGTGATGCTGCCCACATCGACGATCCTCACGCGACTGCAGGTTCCACATGAGCTCACCATCGTCTCTGCGCATCGGACACCAGACCGGATGGTTAAGTTCGCACGCGAGGCTCGGGCAAGAGGTGGGCATGTTCAATTCCTTAATTGTTCATTACTTACCAGTTGCTATGCAGGTGTTCGAGTGATCGTGGCAGGCGCGGGGGGTGCTGCCCACCTCCCCGGGATGGTGGCGGCTTTGACACCTCTCCCGGTGGTGGGTGTCCCGGTGAAAGGAAGCAGCCTCGACGGTGTAGACTCATTGCACAGTATCGTTCAGATGCCAGTAAGCAACAGAACATTTCGTCCTTGTATCTATTACTCCTTACTCATCACTTGTTGTTATGCAGCGCGGAATTCCGGTCGCCACTGTCGCTATCAACAATGGGCTCAACGCAGGTCTGCTTGCTGCGCGGATCCTGAGCACGGGTATTCCGGAGTTGGCGGATAGGATGGAGACGTACATGAGGGAGATGGAGGAGGAGGTTATGGGCAAGGTTGCACGTTTGGGCGAGGAGGGATGGGAGAAGTATGTTGTCAAGCGATAAATTCGTTGATAATCCAGTGAATATAGACACCCGGGATGTCATCAGGAAGCCAAGGCAATACATTGACAATACGGT